ATATACTATTTTATTATTATTATATTAATGTAATAATAATATTATTATAATAATATTATTATTATTTATGCATTTTTGCCCGGACACGTCTTTGCTGTGAAATGAGAGTCCCCCTAGGCAAAATTAGTGTTCCGGACACGACTGCGCAGTCCGTTTTGTCGTCTGGGGTCGTTCGGACCACTTATTTTAGTAATCGGGACGAAAATAAAAATTCATGTATTTTTAGCCCGCACACAAAACCGTGGTCCAACTAGCGTCCGTCCTAAGTGAAATCGACATTGAGGACTCACTCGCGTGGTCTATTTCGTCGTTTGAGGTCGTTCGGACCACTTTTTTAACAATCGAGTCCAAAATGATAATTTGTGCATGACGCGACGTATAAAATTTGTCGACACTCGTGACATCCAAAACTGATGCCAACAACCGCACAACCTGCGGTGTGAATCCAGTCGATCAAAGCTTCCACTGCTCACCGAATCTGTCGCGATTTGGTTGTCTGCGACGCGATCCGCTTGCTCCTCTGTTCATGAATGTCAAACTCCTCTTCTTTGTCGTTGGCAACAAACACATTTACGCGGACACCTCTAGCGAAGAAGTATGATCTTCCCACAAACGACGTCAATTATTGTGAGATATGTACTTCATGACATAAAAATGAGACGCAAAGAACACAAGCAAACACAGATCGTTTACATGGTTCGATCCAACTGGATCTACATCCACGGGAGGAAATCAATCAAATAGTTCACTAAGGTAAAAAAAATGGAGAATACATAGCTTACACATAGAGATGAGTCATCATCTTCCTTCTATGGTCTCCCTCTCAAGCGACACTTTGATACAATGCCTCAAGATGCTCTCCTCCTCTCTAACTCTCTAGCTATTCTCTCCTCTTTTGTGGTAGCTTAAGATCTCTTCCCTTGCTCTCCTAAGTCTCGCACTCTCTCTATTTATAAAAGCAAGAAAGCGGTAGATGGGAGGTAGGTGAGCGGTATGTGAGCGGTAGGTGTGAGCGGTAGGGGAGGGTAGGTGAGCGATACCACATTATAAAAATGTCATTTTACCTTAGTTCAATAATTGGGGGTCAAAATAACAGTATAACAGCAAAAATAAATAACAAATAAAATCTTTAAGAAAATGATTAACAAGGAAGAATCTATGAAAACCTTTCATTCTTCTTTTTCTTGTGATTTCATTTTATTATGTTATAATTTTGGTTAACTTCGCACTTCAGATAACTACATTAGCTAGTTATACAGAATTAAAAAAACATAAATTATAATTTCTATCCATTAAAAACAACTATGGTATAATTACAAATAGATGACCTGAAATGTTGATATTTTCAAATTAACCCCCTCCGTGATTTTTTTTTTATTTTAATATTTGGAATTG